CGACGAATGAGCTCCGCCCAAGAGAACACCCAAGCCGGACCAATGGCCGATGCCGTAGACCTCGCTGGGATCGGAGACGGCGTGCTCGAGTGCCGGGTCGACTCGCCTCTGAAGGAGAATGACGGCACGAAAGATGCATACATATCCTACTTGGTCACGACACAGGTGGGTGGTCCCTTCACACGCGGTGTCGCTGTCGCCGCCAGCACGGCTGCCTAGCCGCCCGGGGGAGGAGGGGAAAGGGAGGAGGATGCTAGGGACAGGATGGACTCGAGTTCTAATCTACCTGCTTGTCACAGACCGACTTCAAGTCCTTTCAAAAATCCGAGTTCACCGTACGACGACGATTCACCGACTTCTACTTCCTCTACAAGACGCTGTACCGCGAGTATCCCGCGTGCGCGGTCCCGCCGCTGCCGGATAAGCATAAGATGGAGTATGTCCGAGGCGATCGGTTTGGGCCGGAGTTCACCACACGCCGCGCGTGGTCTCTACATCGATTCCTGAAGCGTCTGACGTTGCACCCGGTGTTACGTCGGGCGCCGTTGCTGGCGATCTTCCTGGAGTCGCCCGACTGGAACGCTCACATGCGGCTGCGCTCGTCTCGCAACTCGACCAGCACGTCCGACGGGAGTGGGGTGCCGGGCCTGTTCGACAACTTCACTGACACGTTCGTCAATGCGTTCACCAAGGTGCACAAGCCGGATCGGCGATTCATCGAGGTCCGGGAGAAGGCCGATAAGCTGGACGAGGACTTGAATCACGTGGAGAAGATCGTGGCTCGGGTCGCGCGACGGGAGTCGGACCTCGAAGCGGACTACAATGACTTGGCGACGCATTTCCGGAAGCTGACGCCACTGGAGCCGGAGGTGGAGGTGCCGTTGCAGGTGTTCGCGGCCTCGGTGGAGGAGACCGGCCGCGGCCTGAAGACGCTCAAGGACCACACCGATCAGAATTACTTGGGCTCGTTGCGGGATATGGAGGCGTACATTGTGTCGCTCAAGTCCTTGCTTAAGACGCGCGAGCAGAAGCAACTGGACTTCGAGGCCCTGGTGGATTATCGGAACAAAGCCGTGGCTGAGCGGGACTCGTTGGCCTCGAACCCGTCGTCGTACTATGCTTCGAATCCGCTGACCTCGTCGCCCGCATCGTTCATCCGATCCAAGATGGAGGACATGCGGGGAGTTGACCACGAGCAGTCGCGGCGCGAACGGGTGCGGAAACTGGAGCTCCGGATCGACGAGTTGACACGGGAGGTGGAATCGGCCAAGACGACGTCGGAGATGTTCGACGAGGAGGTGGTGCGCGAGGTGGCCGACTTCGAGCGGATCAAGGCGGTGGAGTTCAAAGACACCCTGGGGGCTATGGCGGAGAAGCACATCGACTTTTACCAGGGCGTGCTGAATACCTGGGAGCGCTTCGTTGCCGAGATGGAGGGTGATCTGGATGAGAACACGGGAGAAGCCGGGACCGGCCAAAGTCGGTAGCTTTGTGTGCGTTGTGTTTTATGATCATGTTGTGCGTTCAACTCCCTCTAGGTATACTCTCTATTGTTCTATCGGACTAGCCTGTTGCTTTGCCGTGCCTGCCGTGCCTGCCGTGCCTGCTTATACCTCTTCCTCTGTCAACCAAGGGATTTTCATTCCATACAGCAGAAGGGGGGTGAAGAGGAGAGACAAAACGAGCTAGGCTGATGAAAAACAATCACGACGTCTCATTATGTATACTCTTTCCCCCGGATTCATCTCCCTCTCCCCAGATCTATACAACCCCCAACCCTAACTCCCCACCAACCGATCCCTCACCCTCTGACTCTCCGCCCACTCCAAATCCACCGGACTCGGATTCTGCTGCCCCACCGACGGATCCAGAACCGCCAAATCCAAGGCGCGAGTCGTTTGCCTCCGAACGAGCTTCTATAGTTGCCGTGCATGCCCCGGAGATTAGTCTTGGAGCTGCCTTTTCCGCTTTGAACATGACCCAGACGGAAAGGGGGTGAGACCCACCTCGCGATAGATCTGATTCGGGGTCTTCGTGATTTGTGTGCTGTCCTTCGGGTTCTCGCCGGCGATCAGGCGCAGGTAGACTTCATGGTCGTAGTCGATTTGGTGGGATTGCGGGGAGGCGAAGTTGGCGCTTAGGTGGAGGGGTTGGGGTTGGGACTTGGGGGGTGATGTTTGTGGTGATGTTGTTGTTGTTGTTCTTGTTGTTGTGGATGTAGGGGACGGTGTAGATGGGGCGTTGGATGCCATAGTTTGTTATATTAGGTAGGCTGGCGGTCAGGGTTGAGCCGGTTCTATTCAGGTTCTCAGTCTCTTGCGAATATTGGCAACATGTACTTGTAGGTATGGATGGGATGAACCGTGCGACAGTATTTCCAGAGCTCCCAAGGAAAGGGGCCAGATTTCTTTTATTTGATTTTGATCAGTTTTCTGGTCTACTAACTTATCGACTCCTTCAGGTCTGCATTGCATGTCTGACGGGATTGTGGCGGAGTGAGTGCATTAGGGGGGCTGTGAACGCGTATGGTACATGAGTACTGGCTGGGATTGGTATGCTGGGCGTGAAAGGTTTGTTTCAAATTACGCAGTATAGGTAGGTGAGTTGAGTTATTCATGCACAAAGAAAGGGAATTTTTGGGCGATTATGGTTTGCCACTGAGTCATATTTGATCGGCAGGGAATGTTTTCATTTCTTCATTTCTCGGGGTTTGGTGCTGGGGATTGAGGTTTGGAGGTTGCGGATGCATATTGTGCGGAGAAGACAGTGAAGTCAGTGTTGGTTGGAGAGGCAAGGCCTTGCGAGGTCTTCCGAGAGAGAAGCCGATCCCATCTTCTTGTATACAGACAGACATAAGGAAGAGGATAGTCCGTATACTCCATCTACTCATGCTAATTCAGGAACGAAGTCCGAGGGTGACGGAGATGGCGCCCGCTGGTTTCTGCCACCGCCTCAATTGACCAGTCTGGCCCCACTTTTTTTTCGGGCTGTTCCTGGCGTTTTGGCATTTCGACTCGCGAGGTTGCTAGAATTCTGCCGCCCCAAGGCGGTGGTAGAGGCGGTCGAGTGGTCGAGTGGTCGAGTGTAGGTGAGCGGCCGTTTATCTGGTTTGTCTGGTTTGCAAGCCATCAATCAGCCAACATCCACCCGATACTTCGATTCCATCCGGATGATTCCCGGTTGATGACCGCGACGTCTTTTGTTTGAATACTTCAAGTCACCATGCGCGCTCTTGTACGAACGGCCACACGGCCCTACGTCTGCCCATCTTGTCAATTGGGTCGTCTCTCCGCTCGCCGCCGGTTCGCATCCGCCTCCACCCCGAGCAGCGCATCGCCCGAGATCTACGATGTCGTTTGCGTCGGCGGTGGTCCTGCAGGTCTAGGCCTGCTCGCAGCTCTACGTATGCAGTCTCAAACTTCCTATATCCCATGGACATGACCTAACAAAGACTAGGAGCTACCCCCGCTACCTCCAAGCTCAAGGTCGCCCTCGTGGAGACCCAGGACCTGCAGAAAGCCCGCTCATGGTCCCTCGATGCGCAGCACTACTCCAACCGCGTCAGCAGTCTCACACCCTCCTCCGTTTCCTTCCTCCAGAAAATCGGCGTCTGGGACCATGTCGACACGGCGCGTGTCCAGCCCTACCAAGAAATGCAGGTCTGGGATGGTGAAACCGGCTCGCGCATCACCTTCGACTGGTCCATGGAGACCTCGCCGTTCGAGGACCTGCGCACCGTCGCAACCATGACCGAGAACTCCAACCTAGTGCGCGCCCTCCTCTCGCGCATCGCCGAGTCTGGAGACGAGGACCTCTCGATCTTCTCTAATACCACTGTCTCCTCCATCGCCAACGGCTCCGACATCCCCGACGGCCCCGACCTCTCCGCCTGGCCCGTCCTCTCCCTCGCCCCGACGACCTCCTCCTCCGCACAACCGCCCAAGCAGATCGCCGCCCGCCTCCTCGTTGGCGCCGACGGCATCAACAGCCCCGTCCGGCGCTTCGCCGATATCTCCACCTCAGGCTGGGACTACGACCGACACGGCGTCGTCGCGACGCTCTCCCTGTCCGACCTGGACCCGGTGCACAGCACCCCCAACATCAAGACTGCCTTCCAGCGCTTCCTCCCCGCGCTCGGCGGTCCCATCGCCCTCCTGCCCCTCCCCAACAACACGGCCAGCCTCGTCTGGTCGACCACCGTCGCCCACGCCGCCTACCTCAAATCCCTGCCCCCGCGCGCCTTCATCGCGACGGTCAACGCCGCCTTCCGCCTCTCCATGACCGATCTAACCTACATGCTTCGCATGGAACGCCCCTCCGCCTCCTCTCCCACATCCACCGACTCCTCCTCTTCCTCCTCCTCCGCCGTCGACCCGCACGAAGACGAACTCACCTGGCGCCTGCAACACACGCCGCAGCCCCGCAAGCCCAGCCAGCTGCCGCCACTCGTCACCGGCGTGCAAGAGGGCAGCGTCGCCTCCTTCCCGCTGCGCTTCCGCCACGCCTCGACCTACATCTCGCCGCGCGTCGCCCTGGTCGGCGACGCCGCGCACGTCATCCACCCGCTCGCCGGCCAGGGCCTGAACCTGGGCCTCGGCGACGTGGCCGCGCTGGCCCAGACGGTCGAGTACGCCGCCACCCACGGCATGGACGTCGGCGACCTGCTGACCCTGGAGCGCTATGCCGGGGAGCGCTTCGCGACCAACGCCAAGATCGGCGGCGCCTGCGACGTCCTGCACAAGCTGTACAACGTCCCCGGCAACGGGCCGGTGGCGTGGGCGCGCAGCTTCGGGCTGGATGTCATTGATGCGGTGCCGTTCGTGAAGGGGCTGTTGATGCGGGGGGCGCAGTGATTCATGCCTGGATGGAGAGGTAGTTCAGCCCTATGTTTATCTCTTCCCGTGTATAACTATATTACCTTCTTTTGGCTACTACATATCTGGTCGTGATTATGGAACTAAGGATGTCGCATGGTTGGCAGCATCTAAAGTAGTTGCACTGTAGCTGTCCTGCACTCTTCCCCTTACAAAGCTTTCACACAAAGCAAGTAGAAAATCAAGGTACACTGGCACCCCAGCACAGCATTACACCACTCTAAACCGAACTCCAAACAAAGTCTTTGAAACGCTTCCACGCTCTCAATTCGACTGCAATCTAAAAAAAACTGGGTATTCTTTCCAATATTTCCCCCCTCTTATTGAAATTTTCTTTTGGCGCGTGTATCTAATATGCACACATTGTATTTTGCCCCGCTTCCTTTGTGTAACTTTTGTTTTGTTGAAATGAATCAAGCCTCTACCTTGGTAGCCTCCAACTGCTCCGTGATTACCTGCACGTCTTGGCCGCGGCGCTTGTTGGCGACGCGGGTCTTGATCTCGGCCGGCAGGGCGGCCAGGTCGACCAGCACGCCCTCCTTCTCGGGGTGGCCGTCCTCGAGGCCCATCTCCTTGATGCGGACCTTGCCGGCGGCGAGCTCGTCCTCGCCGAGGATGACGGCGAAGGGGACGCCGACTTGTTCGGCGGCCTTGAATTGTTGGGGGAGCTTGGGCTTGACCTTGTAGGAGAATTCGGCCTGCATGGTTTTCAGATTAGTGGGAGAATGAAGAGGAAAATTCCAAGGGTAAGGGGAGCGATATACCTTGACACCTGCGTTCCACAGCGACTGACACACGGTCATGCGCTCCTTTAGCATGCCGGTGAAGCCCTTACCGCCGAAGGCCATGACGTAGGCGTCGACTTCGCTGCTGCGGAGGGCCTCGGCGCTCTTCTCACGCTCGATGCGCGCCTTGGTGATGGAGAAGATGCGGTCGACACCGAAGGAGACACCCACGCAGGGGATCTGGGCCTTGGGCAGGAACATGCCCACGAGGTTGTCGTAGCGGCCACCGGCGGCGACACTGCCCACGCCCAGCGTCGGGTCGTTGGACCGGTCGTCGTCCTCCAGGGTCTTGGACTTGTCCTTCTTGGCCTTCTTCTGCACGGCCTGGGCCTCCGCGGAGCCCTTCTGCACGGCGGGGGCGGAGCCCTCGGTGACGACCTCGTAGATCACGCCGGTGTAGTAGTCCAGCCCACGGGCGAGACTCAGGTCGAAGGAGATGCGGTCCAGCACGCCAAAGGCCTCGAGGTAGTCCATCAGCAGCGCCATGTCGTCGAGACCGGCCTTGGCGTTGGCGTTGGCCGTCAGGGTCTCGTCCGCGAGGAGGCCGTCCAGCAGCTCGCGGCCGCCCTTCTTCTGGGCGTAGGACCAGATCTGGTCGGCGACGGCGCCGTCCAGCCCCTTCTCGTCGACCATCTCCTTGCGCACGTCCTCCCACGGCATCTTGTCCAGCTTGTCGACGGCGCTCGAGATGGGGCGGATTTTGTCGGCGGGGACGCCGCAGACCTCAAAGAGGCCGTCGAGGATCTTGCGGTGGTTGATCTTGATGTTGTAGCGGCCCTTCCAGCCCAGCTCCTCGAAGACCTCGGTGACGATGCGCAGGATCTCCGCGTCGGGCACCATGGGGTCGAAGGTGCCGGCGATGTCGAAGTCACACTGGTAGAACTCGCGCATGCGGCCCTTGCTGACGGCGGGCTGGTCGCGCCGGTACACCTTGGCGATGTGGTAGCGCTTCATGCTGCGCACGTCCGGGTTCATGGCCAGCCAGCGGGCGAAGGGCACGGTCAGGTCGTAGCGGAGCGAGCAGATCTCCCCACCCTGGTCCTGCAGGTCGTAAATGAGCTTCGAGTCCTCGCCATACTTGCCGGCCAGGATCTCGCGAAGTTCGAAAACGGGGGTGTCGAGGGCGGTGCCGCCGTGGCGCTTGAAGACGTCGGCGATGGTGGAGAAGATGCGGTCGCGGAGGAGGGCGTCGGACCCGGACCAGTCCTTCGTACCCTTGGGGGTCTTCAGGTTGAAAGAGACCTTGGATTCCTTGTCCTTAGGCATTGTGCTGTCTGAGAAGGGGGATATGGAGGAGGATGAGGGGGTGAAAGAAGAAGTGGAAGAGGGGAAGGCCGGAGGAGTCAGAGAAGAGAAAGAGGAGGAAGAAGAACAGGATGAAGAATGGTGGGGGATGGTGGGGGCTCGACTGATTGGGCGGACAACTGGTGGGCGGCCGCTGTTGCTGTTGCTGCTGATGCTGCTGCTGTTGCTGCGAATACTACAACCACTCTGGTGAGTTAGTCTCCGTGTTAAGCCAATTGCTCGTCGAGAGCAGTGCAATGACACGGGTCGCAGTGGAGAGGGCATTCAAATGAACGAAGAAAGTTGTTCTCAAAGTTGTTGATTGACTCCCATCCATGAATGACCGGGAAAGAAAGTCGCCTCCTTCAATCCTCCTTCCCGCGGCTCGACCCGGCCGTTTCTCGGCCCTCAATTTCTCCGTTCTTCACTCAATCCGGAAATTAGGGCAGATCTATAGGGCATAGATCTTGCAGGAGGCAGAATGATTCAACAAGAGCATGTCAATATACGCGTCTCGCCTTGCTACACAGGAGCTTGACGCGATCAATCCAGACATGCCCACCATGCGATGGACATCCGAGCCTAGGACCTTTCCAACTTCTGGCTGTAAACTGATCGACGCATCCACCAAGATCGAAGAAGAAACTTTACCAAGCCATATCCCAGAGTCATGCTACCTAGTGGAACAAGGGGAGATCATGAACGACAGATATCAAGTGATCTCTAAGATCAGCTACGGTGGTTCCTCGACCGTCTGGCTGGCTCGCGATCTCGTGCAAGTCTGAATACAAAGCAGCAAACCAAGAGCTAGGTCTTGTTACTAAAGTTGCCTTGAAACAAGCGAGTTGACTCACGTCGTCCTTAAAGTCTATAGACTGGAGATCGGTGTCTACAATCGCATACAATCCATAGAGACCGACCACCCTGGCCAAACGGACATCCGCAAACTCCTCGATCATTTCTGCCTTCACGGTCCCAGCGGTCGTCACGCATGTCTAGTCTATGAACTCCTCGGGATGAGTCTGCTCGAGCTAGATGAAATCGGACGCAGCCTTGGTGTCACAGATCCCATTCCAAGACTTGATCAAGCTAAGCCACTGATTCGGAGAGTCTTGTAAATAAAAATGCACCAGGGAGCCCATCTGATCCATACTGGTAATGTTTTGCCTCCCTTCTTCTAACGGTCTCAGTGACTTCTAAACCCAGGGGGTGACCGGCACTGACTTTCATCATCTAGATCTTCAGATGGAAAACCTACTTCTGCCGGCGGCTTCTCCGGCCAGAATGTCTAAGTACGAGGAAAATGTGATCAAATGCCCGTTGCCACGGAAAGTCCTCAAAAATCGAACCATCTATACCACAAAATGATTCCCTACATGAAGGGGACTCCCCCGTACTGTGCGTTTTCGGAATAACACGATTCGGCGACAAGCACAATTGCGGGACGATCATGCCGGACTTCCACCGTGCCCCTGAGGTTATCCTGGGCTTTCCGAGCTGGGACTACAAAGTTGACAGCTGGGGGGCTGGGATGTTGGTAAGTCTTCCAATACTACGCTTTCCCGGCTCCACTTCGCGGACTCTATGAGATTTGAGGATCCAATCTACTGATACGGGTTTCTCCGGGGAAATAGGCTTGGGACACTATCAGTACTCGCCCATTGATCACGAATCACAGGAAGGACGGTCATTGGGACGATGGCGCCCACATCGCGGAGTTGGTCGCTCTTCTCGGGCACCCCCCTCGCGAGTCCACCCGTCAGGGAACCTATAGTCATCTTCTCTGGGATGCCAACGGGAACTGGACAGACCTGGTCCCTATCACGGACCGAAGTCTCGAACAAGCCGCGGCCTAATATCGATTGCGAGGACCTGAAGGGCTTCCTGCGGTGGCTGCATCGAGCACTGCAGTGGGATCCCAAAGTCCGTCCGACGATCTTGGATCTGTTCATGGACCCATGGCTGATGAGAGGGATGAAAGTGCGGAGAGACGCTCCGGCTTTGAAGGAATATCATCCAGATATCGTCGGGGTGGTTGAGATCATCGACTGATTCGGTGGTCGAAACCAATCCCTTGGACTTTGGGGGAAGTCGATTCATCGATCCTGCGCACTTCGTGCTTAGTGTTTCTGTTCTTGTTGCCGACTGTGTTTATGCTTCTGAGGGAAATCTGGAAATTTTATACTTCGTCAATTATCTTATGCAGCATCAACTCAGAATGAAGATCTAGTTCGAGAATTTAGTCAAGAAATTGGATCTTATCGGAATAGTATTCGAATATAAGCAACGAGCCTACAGTTCCTAGTAGGTAGCCGTGTCGTGTGGTTCTCCATTACTTAGTTAGCGCGTATCATTTTGGCCGTGGCTTACTCAATTACCATTGGTGAGGACATGAGAACCACCGCTCACCAATGCTTTTTTTTCGACTCCGGACACTGACGCAGGCTGACAGCATCACTCCCCTACTCAACCATTGGAGTGGGAGTCTCGTGCTCCCCCCCATCCTTTGTGGGCAATGGAAAGAATGGGGTCCATCCACATAGTAAGCTTCATTGGCGGGATGGGGAGAGGGGCGCAGGTGCATGGGGTGATGTGACCCAGTCACTGCCAGACAGACGGTCTGTACGGAGTCAGAAACCGAAGTCAGGTACATTCATGTATGTACCTGTACGGTAAGAGTAAGAGCAGTCAGACTTTTGCGGGGCCTGCGTGGGAATTCACACCGATTGGCTCAGTGCTGCTCCAGCACAAGTGGGGGTCAACAACTGGGACGATTCTGCTTGGACTGATTAATCCATTCTAACTTAACCTATCCATAAGTGGTCTGCTTATCAGGACCATCATGATAGACTACTACTATCTCTCTTCCTGTAGAGTATCGGTCGATTCGGTCCAGCAGTTCCCTACCGGTTTGTTTGACACCGGTGACACCGCTGTTAAAACAAGCTGAAACCCCAGAGTGCCCCAAAGATGAAACACAGACCAGACTCGTGGGGTCGTGGCTATGCTATCCCGAGTCGGATATAGAAGCCTGATTTGAGTTTGACATCAGCATGCAACCAGCCATGCATGCCCATGCATTTATCCATCCTGGCAGGGCACACTTTTCGAAAACGGTAACAGACACGAGTGGCTGGTCTGTTGGTACATGAGTACATGAATACGTACCGGTATATCTGGATCCCAGGAGGAGAGACGGCTAATGTTATACGAGTCTTCCCCTCAGCATGCGTATGGCGCTAGTATCTCAAATGCTGGGGTGATGGGGAATGGTGGGGAGCTGCAATGATCTCGATTGGTCTGCTGGCCCTTTGATGATCCTGGTGTTTCCACGTGGTTTTGGTGTACCATCTTACATTACCTTACCAATTCACAGAACCGTAAGGTATGACGTTGGTAACGGCTTCCGCGGTCGGGGAGGAGATCGAGTCTCGAGATTCTGATTCTCACTCCGTATCTGAGTAGGAAGTCTTCCAGACCAACCCTCCATCCATAGGGTAGAAAGGTGTGCGATTACCCTGCATGTGTCGAGAGTGTTCACTGCTCTCAGGTGTACTGTACCTGATTGAAACACTCTGAACCGGAATACTCGACCTCCGTCCAACAGGTTGCCTTCGTGCCTCCCTCCCCCTTATCATTCCTATGTTTAGCTGTCTATCCCTGGGATGTCAAACTCACCTTCGTTACTCCTTAATTACGACCGCTAAGAGTGGCCACCAGCACTGAAGCCGCCCGCCAAGGACGCCCGCTAGGACAGGCCCCGACCAGGGAGGTAACCAAAATCACGCACTGCATTTCGTCCCGCTGCCTAGGGCAAAATCCCGTGGCTTGTCATTCGTGGTCAATATTCCGATCCCGCTCCTTTTGTTCATCTGCAGCAAACCGGAGAAGGGCGTGGCAAGGTAGTCCAACGATCTTCTTTGGGTGCTCATACTTGCAGCTGCAGGACAGTCGCTCGGCCGGACTGTATCTTGATCGCTACTTGATAGCATTCGGGCGGTTGCGATGGCTCATTGGCGAGCTAGGCCATGCCAATGGGCTGGCAACCTATCATAATCTGGGGATGGCGAGGTCGATGCAACCCCGGCCGCAACCTTTGGCTGCACCTGATGATGCGTGCTATATTATCCGAAGGGTTGCTTCGCCCGGCTCTAGAAGGTCACCCTCACTTTCTGGTTGCTCTCTGGTGTGCTTTGTTCTGCGACCTGCCCCAATGGGCCTGATGGTGGTGCATACCACGACGTTCTGGTTTAAGAGACTGTCACACAACGTCGAGCCGTTGGTAAACGTTTGTAGCCTGTGTAGCCCTTCGTAGGCCGCAGGGCTGCTGACTGGAATTCCCCGGTGATTCAATTACATATGTGTAGTTGGTCTAACCGAACAAGGAGACACTTGTTGGGCGGAGGGTGCTGGGCTGCCAGCAGTCCGACCGGCCACCGGGTGGATGTGCTCCAGAGATGTTTGCCTGTGGCCATTGAAAATCGAGATTGGGCCTCGCGCACGTCCATGTTTCATTGTCTGGTGGAGGAGCTTAAACCAGGTCCTGAGCTGACTGACGTAGAGATTCGAATGTCCCGGACCACATCAACGTAGCAATCCGGCTTTTCCCCCTCTCTCCCCTCCTCCTCCCTCCTTGAGTGAGAAACCAGGAATCAAGAAAACATTGGAATGAGGGGAAACGATCGGGATTGTTCTCCTCCTTCTGATCGGATGGAAGGGGGTCACTTTAGTCAGATTTCTAGTTCCTTCCTCTGGCGCGTTAATCAGCAGCAATCGGTGAAAGAGCGGAGTTAAGGTGGGAGTGGAAGAGGAAGGGAAGATAACTTACCGACTGAACCGACAGATGCCGCCAAAACCGATTCTCCCACGTTCACCGACAGCGGCCCAGCTTTTCCTGCCCCGTCCATTGAGGTCTTGTCATGGAATCAGTCACAAAAGGCATTAGATATAAGATAGAAGATATAATTATCGATGAGATAATTGAGAATATCAGCACAATTCATAATTCATGTACTGTACGTAGTAGCAAATCTAATCGAAATCTCTCCTCTTTTCCCCTCATTTTCTCCTCGAGTCCCAAAGTATGATCGCTCAGGCCCGCCAGGGTGAGATACAGCCAGTACACAGTACAGTACTTGATTGGGTAGGACAGTCAAGATGGAACGATACCCATACCAGGTCCATACCGTACGTACGATACGAACAGGCAAAAGAGTTTCTCTCTACCTAGTAAGTTGGCCACTCTGTACGGGAACCGAACTATAACATACTTCGTTGGTGCTTCGAGGCTGTGACTAAGGAAAGGGTTCCTGACAGACAAGCCTGGGGATTCCCGCCATCTTCACTGACTGACTGACTGCCTGCCTGCCAGCCTGCCTGTCTGTCTTGCCCACCTTCAACCTTCTCATCTCTCCCCAATTCTCATTTCTCTCTTCCACTCTCTCACTCTCTCCCCTCGCTCACTCTCTTTTGCTCCCAATTTCTCTCGCCCTTCTTGACGCCGCCAATTACCACCCTTCAATCTCTCATCCCAATCTCCTGCGCGATTCTCGGTTCCCTCGTCTCCGACTCGGACCGCGGTCTTTCTCCACCTTTTCTCGAATCCGCCGCCCGTTCACGTTTCCGCCCCATTCCACGCTCTCGCAATCCACATATCCAGGCCCCAGTCCTGCGACAACTCTGGTCGGTTCCGCGCGCTGCTAAATCTTCTACCTGGTTCCTGTCGACAACCACCACCGGAATCCTATAACGCGACTCCTCGAGGATCACTTCTGCTTGCCTTCCCGTCCTTCGATCGTGCCTGCTGACACTCCCCGATCCGCGCGTGGTCCGACGAACTTACTCATCGCCGCTCTCTTTTCTGGTCCGGGTGTCGGCTTCGGTTTCCCACCGTCAGTTGCCCGATGAGGCTGAATTAGGATTCACGAGATTGTGCGATAATCATGGGGTCTTTTCTGAGGAGTTTCCGGAGAGATGTGGTGAGTCTTTATCCTGGTCGGCCTGGCTTTCTGGATTCTTCCCGGCCCATCATCTCCCACTCGTCTGTGCCTGGCTGGTTCAGTATATGCTTCCCCAGTGGTGCAATCGCTCTAGTTCCATGCCCGAGCATCATGTTGTCTCGTTCCGTTCATTGGAGGCGCTCAACGGTCGGGGCCGGACGAGGATTCATCCATCCAATGCCTTTGTCTTCACCACTATCAAATGACGAATGTTAACCGTCTTGTCCCCAGGGACCCACGCCTTCGGTTGGGGCGCCTCCCACCAAGAAAGAACCCCAGGCGCCGACGATGACCCCGCTAGAGAAAATGCTCCAGGATATGGGTTCGATCCGAGAAGATGGCAGTGATAAGTTCTTTGCGATGGAGAATGTAAGTCTGCGTCTAAAACATCTTGCTCTTAGAATCTTTGCTGATAGACTTCTCTCGTTTAGTTCGGAAATACATGGTGAGTTGTTTGCGCCCGGCTGCCGGTCTACCTACCTCAAGTGATCACATAGACCCCAAGTGACTGGATCGCTAATGCTTGCGAATAGTTACTGTAACTCGATATTACAATGTCTCTATTATTCAGTACCATTCCGAGAAGCTGTTATAAACTATCCCACCAGAACACCGATAGAGAACCTGGAAGCCGCATTGGCCAAAAACCTTCATTACCAAAACCCCGCTGCTAATATGGAAGCGGAGGCACAAGCAGAGAAGCAGAAGGCTGCTACGCCACAACGTCCGGGGGCGCCCCCCAATCAGCCACAAAAACCCGAAGATAAAGACTCACCGGAATACAAGAAGAAGATGGCCTTACAGACTCTCCCCCTTCTAGAAACCACGAACAATTCAGCCAGCTACGGAATGTCGGAGTCGCTATTTACATCGCTGAAGGATATATTTGAGTCGATCGTGGCGAGCCAGGCTCGTCTTGGTATAACAAGACCACAGCGCTTGTTGGAACTCCTCCGTCGGGACCATGAGATGTTTCGGACTGCCATGCATCAGGATGCCCATGAATTCTTGATCCTTTTACTGAACGAGGTGGTAGCGAATGTCGAAGCGGAGGCCATGAAGCAGCCCGAGAAGAGCTTGCCACCCCCCGAAAGCATGGAATCCTCACAACAGTCATTAAGTTCTGGTTCCAAGACCCCCAACACTACGCGATGGGTGCACGAGTTGTTCGAAGGAACCTTGACGTCCGAAACACAATGTCTGACCTGCGAGAACGTCTCTCAGCGAGATGAGATCTTCCTGGATCTGTCGGTTGATCTGGAACAGCATTCGTCGGTGACCTCGTGTTTGAGGAAATTCTCCGCAGAAGAGATGCTCTGCGAGCGGAATAAATTCCACTGTGACAATTGTGGCGGTCTGCAGGAGGCAGAAAAACGGATGAAAATCAAACGTCTTCCCCGCATCTTGGCTCTCCATCTCAAGCGCTTCAAATACACGGAGGACTTGCAAAAACTGCAGAAATTGTTTCACCGAGTTGTCTATCCGTATCACCTGCGTCTTTTCAACACAACGGACGATGCGGAGGATCCTGACCGATTGTACGAGCTGTATGCAGTCGTGGTACATATTGGAGGCGGTCCCTACCACGGTCACTATGTGGCTATTATCAAGACGCAGGATCGCGGCTGGTTGCTCTTTGATGATGAGATGGTGGAGCCTGTGGACAAGAACTACGTGCGTAACTTCTTCGGAGATAAACCCGGACTCGCCTGCGCCTACGTTTTGTTCTACCAGGAAACCACTATGGAGGCTGTCATGAAGGAACAAGAACAGGAGGATCTCAATGCCACCATGGCAGATCTCAATCTGAACGAGGTCGCCGTGAAGCAGAATGGATTCATCTCACCGCCCGCGCTATCTCATGTTCATAGTGCATCGCAAATCCCCTCGCAAGAAGACCCTCACCGATTCACAGGCCTGAAACGCGCCCCGACGGCGCCTCAGCTCCCGACCCACACCGAGCATATCGGCGCCGAAGCCGTTCCTCCGCATAGTCCGGCAGCCGTGCCCCCTCCGGTGCCCCCGATTCCTGAGGTCCACACGCGACCACTGAGCCCCAAGAAGAGTGACGTCCAATCCAAGAAGGAACGGGCCAAGGAGGAAAAGGAACGGAAAGCAGCCGAAAAAGAGCTAGAAAAACAGCGCCGGAAGGAGCAAGAAGCTCGGTTCAAGGAGAACAAAGAGAATCAGCGGCGCGAGGAAGCTGAGATTAAGGCTGCGATCGAGGCCAGCCGAGCGTCCAAGGCCGATGAAGACCGACGCAATGACAGTGGCAAGAGTGGTGGATTGAGTCGACTCAAACGAGGCAGCAAGAGCTTCAGCCAGAGACTGGGCAAGGACAAGGAAAGTCGGGCGTCATCGTCCGGCTCCCCCGCAGTGCCCAATTCCGAGACGTCCAGTTCAAGCAATATGCCACCTGAGCCACTCCAACCCTTGTCACCCCAGAAGATAACGCCTCCCGATACACTTCTGGTCCCTCACGACGATGATCCGGATTCTCTTAAGAGCCCTAAGAGCGATCGACAGACTCATGGGAAATGGCGGAGTTTCAGCATTAGAAAGAAGTCCTTCAGCATTCTTTCGTGAACATGATGGTGAACATGAGGGCCTGTTACTCGTCACCACGTGTATCAGATCTACACTTTTCTTGCACATAAAAGACGCATTTCTGTCGTACATATTCCTTTTCTCCATGTATCATCACCATTGCCTTCCAGACCGGATTCATTTTGACTTTGACGACGTGGCCCATCCCTATCTTGCATACGGAAAGGACTGCGCGTCAACGACAGGGATCCTGTTTCTGTTTTATTTGCACGATTGTCATTCTGCCAGCTCCTACCTGCCTGCATCTTGGTGCATTGACCAAATCACTTCGGTCTGTATATTGATTTAGCCTTTTCTTCATCTCTTCCTTTTTCTTGTTCTCTGATTTCATCTCCCTGTGATACCCATGCCTGGGTCACACCACTGGGCAAATGGGGCGTTTGGCGAAAGTGTTTTCTGTCCTAATTGTTTTTACTCAGGGGAGATGACACGAGGGAGTGGATGCTCAATTCGTGTTATCAAATGGTTCGCGGGAGGATATATTCGCAGGTTCTCGACCGAAAGTAAGGCGGGCGCATCATTCCACCTTTGAACACAGGCGTGGCACTTCATGCCTACGCTTCACCTCGACTGGACATATCATGCATGGAACTCGCCTGGGCCAAGACTTGCGGGCACGCGCAGTATATAGACCTTGATACCAATGTGATATGTATGCGAAGAGTGCTTTCTTTCTGTAGGGTATCTGACTAACGCTGTCCCTGTCTCGCCCATCCTCGTCGCACCTTACAGGACCGACACAACCACCATCAGTCAAGGCCCTGCTGCTGATCTATAACCGCTTGCGCCCAGCATCCTTGCAGATAGACTCCGACCGCAGTGATATCATTTCCCACAGCTCCCATCACCCGCGGGTACCATCCATTCAAATCTCGAAATCACATATAGGTTAGGTGCATGCACCATACCGAGCGAGATAAAGAACAACTGTCATTTCTATTCCCGTCATATATCATTCCTTGTTGTTACTCAATTCCTTAACCCCACACACCACCGAACCGGCAAAAAAAGCAAACGGAAACACCTCGTAGAATATTCGCTGCTGAATATAGTATAATAATATGTAGTAGACAAGGTATACATAACAAATCGGGATTCGTGAATCGCGGGTTTAAAAAAAACAAGTCGGGGAGCTGTGACAAGAGACGTTCGAATTGTTTTGGTGTGGGTCGGTTAACCCAGGATAAGCTCGTAGATGATGACGATGGTATTGATCACGATTAAGGGTACTGTTATACAGATTCCCCTTTTCTCCGTTGGAGAGAGGGGGAAATGGTAGAGGTTAGTTTGGTTATTGTGACTCGCGGTGTAGTGCGGGAGATGAGGGGTCTGCGCGAGGGAGGTATGCTCGTGTGTAGCTTGGGCTTTTTTTTTTTGTGAGAAGGACGTACTTCGCATGACAGTCCGGACACTGGCGATCAGATTGATGGTTTTGGCCTTGACGCTGGTGTTGTCGTAGGTTGCGCCGAAGGCTGGATCGGCTTGCATGCGGCCCCAGCCGACTGTTTGGGGGGGAGGGAGCTTGGTTAGCTTGCTGAGGAGGTCCCAGGGAGAGAGAGGGGGGGGGAGGATGGAGCGTTGAGAAGTTCCGGAGGGGACTTGGACTTGTGTGGACGTACTTCTGGCGAGGAAACGGTCCTCGGAGAGGATGGCAAGGGAGTTGATGAAGAGGATGACGACTGCGGAGACAAGAAGACGCGATGGTTAGTTTCGGGCTGCGGATGTTCGACTTGCTCAATGGATTTGACGACAGGGAGAGAAGGGGACGGACCGTAGAAGAGTTTCCCTAGGCCGAAGAAAAACATCTTGGCGGGAGGTTTGTAGGAGTGTCGAGGGAGGTGTGGTGGTGAGAGGTTGAGGTTGATGTGTTTAGATAGTGAGTGGTGTTGAATGACGGCGGAGTGGAAAGGGAAGTTGCGGGAAGGCACTGGGCACTGCAGTGCACCGGCTGCACTCCACCCACTCATGTGATTTTGGCCATCTGTCTTCCTTCATACTTCGACCTACTTGGCTCCTCTTATGCATTGAACGCGACTGTATCCGAGCAAGCTGGGATTATTAGGGTCATCATGAGTGGGAGAGATGCTGGTAAGTGCTATATTCATTCTTGTCAAGAAAATAAGAAAACAAGCCAATTGACCTGTCTACAGTCTACGTGCTGCTCCTCGCCGCAGTGCCCGCCCTCATTCTCCTCCATTTGGTCGTTGCGCCATACACCAAGGTAGAGGAGTCTTTCCATGTACAAGCCATTCATGATATTTTGGCATACGGAATCCCCACGAGCAAAGTCAGCGAGACACTTCGTGCGGATTATGACCATTTCACCTTTCCTGGTGCTGTTCCTCGGACATTCGTCGGCGCCGCGCTGCTGGCCGGTCTGGCGCGGCCGTTCATTGGGTTGCAGCACTCTGTCGACAGGCAATTACTTGGTGAGTAGTGCGCAAGCTGTCTTCTACGCTGTGTGGTCGATGGCTAAAGGATCATGTCTTCAGTTAGAGCTATCTTAGGCCTATTTAATGCCGCTTCGTTGCTGTCATTTGCGGGAGGTCTACGGCGTACTGCCGGCAAGACAACCGCCATCTGGTACCTTTTGTTCCAGAGCAGCCAATTTCACGTTCTATACTATGCGTCGCGGACGCTCTCAAATATGTTCGCATTTGGGATGACTACCCTAGCTTTGCGTTGCCTTCTTCCAGAGCCATCACTGTCTACCGCAGCGTATCGAAGGCGCTCGCGACTCGCTCTGTGTCTGCTGACAGTAGCTGGCATTATCTTTCGCTCTGAGCTTGCCATCTTCCTCGTAACCAACACGATCTTCCTCTTCGCGACCCGCCGTATCAGCATTCTACACGAGATCATTCCCGCCGGGATCGTGGGCCTTGTCATCGGCCTAACCACGACTGTGGTCGTGGATTCTTTCTTCTGGCAGCAATTTCCCCTGTGGCCCGAATTCGAGGCGTTCAAGTTCAATGTCATCCACGGTCAAGCGTCAGCCTGGGGCATTGACCCGTGGTACTTTTACTTCATCAACGCCGTTCCTCGTCTCCTCCTCAACCCTCTGACTTATCTTGTTGGCATTCCCATCTCGCTTCTGCAACCCGCCACCCGCTCCGTCGCAGCATCTCTCCTCATTCCATCTCTTGTTTTCCTCGCCATCTACAGCGCCCAGCCCCACAAGGAATGGCGTTTCGTCATCTATACCATCCCTGCCCTCACCGCGGTCTCCGCTCAAGGCGCCTCCTACATCTGGACACATCGCGCCAAATCAATAATCTATCGTCTCCTCTCCCTGGCCCTGCTAGCCTCAACCCTAGCTTCCTTCATCGTCTCCACTTTGGTCCTTCTGCCCGCCTCCTCCGCCAACTACCCCGGCGCACACGCCCTCCACGCCCTCCACAGCCATGCTATCCCTCCCACAGACAATGCCGCCAATGTATCAGTTTACCTTGGCAATCTGGCCTGCCAAACTGGTGTGACCCGCTTCCTCCAGTTCTCCACCAGTCACTCCGACTCTCCAATCTGGAACTACGATAAAACCGAATCCCCTCTCCTCAAGTCGGACCCTACCTTCTGGTCCCACTTCGACTATGCTCTAGTCGAACCCGGCGAGGAGGCCGAGCTCGTCCTGTCTTCCTCCTCTGTGGCTGGGAAATGGCGGCCCATTGATACTGTTTCCGGCTTCGCGGGACTCCGTGTCCTCCGGCCTGGCGACGAGGCTATCGGTGCTGTTGAAGGAGATCTCCTGGGGTATGTTGTGGGAGACAGAGGGGTCGAGATTTGGAGCAGAGTTCGCGAGCTTGCTCGACGAACGGTCACGCGGGGATGGTGGGTAGAGGTCAGAATGGAGAGCAAGATTCTGATCCTCGGGAGAGATGGTGTTGAGAATGTTTGAACTTTCTAGACTACAACTTTTTGTTTTCCAATGGGTATGTAGCTGATATATATAGAGCCAGTGTGATTACAACGAGTCCTAGCTGAAGAAAAAGCAGTAGACATAGTCTCAAAACTTTGCAGATGAGTAGACCTAAGTTATCGTAATATTGTAGTGGCTCTGATGAAATCGCTATAGGGAGCCTAGCTGCTCATCGGGCTTCTCATACCTTGCACCCGATCTTATAACAATATTTAGTAGTACTAGTCAGATCACCTCTGGTTGATAGCAGCAACGCACCCCCGCTCTTGTACCATGCACAGTCCCAAATCGATCACCCTCAACCGTAGACTCTTTGTTTGGGCTATCAGCCTGTGAGTCACTGATATTCACCACATTCACCAAACAAGCGAATCTTCCCCGGTAGCGAGCTGGCCGTAATCTTAAAATTTCGTTCTGAGTTCCCGATATGGCCGGAAGCGAGTAGATATTAGTCGTATAGTCACCCCAGATATCAGCTATCTCTGATAACGAGCCAGATTCTATCCCAACATTCACTGCGAACATCAGGAAACACCGGTAGCGAGCTGGATGTAATCTTAACGTTCGCCACCGTGTGGCCTTCGTGGGATATAAAATCCCCCTCGATCTCTCTTCTTCTTCATCTTCTCCTCCTCCTCTCTTCTTTCTCACCACCCGTTCCAATTTTCATCCTTCCTCTTGTCTTGAGCACCTCCAAAAGTCCCTTCGTCTTGAAATCGTTTTCAACATCCACTGTTCACGATGTTCCGTCTCAAAAATCTTCTTGTTTTCCTCCTGGTGTTGGGGTTGTTCATGCAGACTGCCCTGACAAAGCCCCAGGGTCCCACTTCCACTGATGTTGCGAACATCGATGACAACTTGGACTCGCTCAAGGATAGCCCTGTTGAAGGAACCCACGACCAGCCTACTGCCGACCACGATGTCCCCTCTGTGTCCGATGGAGCTGTCCCCGGTGACGACGTCCCTGAGGGCAACGGCCAGAGCAAGGTCCTAGGCCTGGGCGGAGGGCTCCTTCCGATCTCACGTCCTGACACTGTAAGTGGAGAGCGTGGTTGCGAATAGGTTGGCCTGATCGATTGTCCTTAACCGTTGCTGACTTTTGTTCGTGCTGTTCTAGTGGAGAACTTGTCTGGGCGTTTGTGACTGGAACCACTGGTGCCACTGCGCAATGACTCGTTGCCGTTGCTGGCATCGTCATGCCCCGTGCAAATGCATCAACCACTTCAAGTCTCGCGATGAGTCCGCGGAAGATGATGGTCAGAGCGACGTTGCCGGTCTTGAAGCTGTTGACGGTTTGAACGCCACTGACAATTTGAACACCACTGATGATTCGGATCCCACTGATGGTTTGGATACCCCGGTTGATCTGAACACCACTGATGATTCGGGTTCCATTGGTGATCTGGATCCCACTGATAATCTGAACACCACCGATGATACGAACACCACCGATGACTTGGAAACCCCTGTTGATCTGAACGCCACTGATGATTCGATCACCACTTCCGGTCTGAACCTCACCGAAGGTCCAAACAACCAGACCCTGATCACCATACCTCCCTTTGTAAGTCATTGCTCGGGTGCCTCTGAAACCGTGTCACTTGCCCTCGCTGACTATCATCCTCTTTAGCCTCCCCCGCAGTGCAAGGGAATCTGCAACCTCAAGCACAAGTGCTACTGCTCCAATACTGCTTTGACCCATTGCCGTTGCCCCAGGATTGGCTTCCCATGCTCGTGCACACGCTACCTCGATAGTCCAGCTGCCCGACTGGAAAGCGCGGACTCGAACACCACCTCGACCTCGAACACCACCTCGACCCTGAACACCACCTCGACCCTGAACACCACCCCGACTCTGACCATTCGCGCGGCCTCGGAGACTGATGAAGAAGGGTCGGACACCAACGAGGGTTCGGACACCAACGAGGGTTCGGACACCAACGAGCAGTTGGATACCATCGAGGAAGTGGAGAGCACCCCGGTGTCACATCTCGCTCAAGCGGTAAGCCACTGACACTTCTCCCGATGTTCTTTCGGACCCCTGCTCACGTTTCTCACACAAGCCTGCCGGGCCTTGCAAGGGTCGCTGCACTATTCATGGGAAGTGTATGTGTGGAGGGTTGACCAAATGTACTTGTCGCCACGCTGGCAAGACCTGCTCGTGCGTCAACTGAAAAGCTGTCTTTGGAATCGCTTGTTGGCATGTTTCGGGGATGCTTAGAGTGATTAGACTTGCTTTGGAGCTTTGTTGTTGTTGTTGTTGGAGCCTTGGAACTGTGCTGTGCTGTTTCCTCTGGCAAAAGTCGTTGTTGTTGGGCGTTGCGATCGGATGATGTATCTATCATGTTAACCTTTGTGGCACTGCCACTTGAACAATGAGAAAAACCTTCATTGACTTTGAATATCCCTTCAACAGTGTACCTGCAAAAGCAGTAGCAACTCCCTCCGACTTGTGAACTGATATATCGCGTCGACGCGCCGCTCTTGCCTGGTGCGAACTACTCGGCCACCCGTTCCCTCGATTCTCTCCGAAGCCGAAAGATACCAACATTCGATCTCACGGGCCCAATCAAGACCTACACATACTCAAATGCTTGTAGATCCTCCTGTCTGTCTGTCTGCCAAGATGCCACCTCGAGCCAAGGATGCGCACAATGCAATTTACACACCACGTCCCTCTTCTTAGCACGGGAGCCTAGGTACTGTACGGAGTAGGTACCTCGAATACCAGCCTTAACCATGAATCAAAAGTAGGGGACTTGGATGCAAATCGCACAGCTACCCTGAGATCGACGATCTCTTGGATCACGCTCAAAGGGCCAGTGACGCCATAGGATCATCGGTCGCGCTTGATCGGAGCCATCAGATTTCCTGTCTCGACCCGTCACATTGTGCTTGCTCCATTTTGCAGACGACAGCTGCGGCTGTCGTGCACGACAATGCAACTATCTGTCGACGTGGTGGTCTGCTGCAGACGCCACTCCTCCACAAGAGAGACCCCGACTCAGACTCCAGCTGTTGAAGTCGCGCAAGAGGACGAGAGATACTCGATAGGTCACTTTGCTGAATCCGTGTGCGGCATTTTGACAGGATGGGTACGACGACGTTATGCTGTCATCTGGAAATGACTGCATGCCTTCTCCGTATTGCCTCGGGGAAGAGAGCTTTCAGAAGGCGAAGAAGAAGACGGAACACAGGTGTGTTGGCCATAGTTACTTCCTAGAGTAAGTTTGTATATAGAACTGTACACATGAGTATACCTACGGCAGCGATTGCCACGGAATTTTTTTTGGGGGTTTTGAGAGGGGTAGAGAGATTATGCATCACGTCCGCCAAACTCGGCTAGTTGTTGCTAGTTGTTGCTAGTACTAGCAGGGGGTAAAGGGGGTTGCAGCCGGATAATAAAGGCGTAGGACTTCTATAGGTCTGGAGGATTTGTTATCAAGCTCCGGGTCGCCGTGTCTTTTCTGGTACTATCCCGCGGGAGAGGATATTCTTAGAAAATGCACGTCCCCTATCACAGCGGACGAAGGATCGAAGATAGTACCGAGTACCGTGCTCAATCACCTCGACTTTGAGGACTCAGCCGGGTTTGATATAGTCGACCTTTGGTCTGTATCTAGCTGTAAAGAGCCACTATGAGTGTAGATAGTCAGTCAGATTGCGATTGCACCAAGTAGACTGTTATGCAGTGTGTATGATTTAGTACTCAAGTATGTTGACCTATGATGAATCCAATTCTCCCATGATGAAAGAAATGCCCACTGCATCCATGATCGATGTCACCTGACCCACTCTCAGTGGAGCCTCGATCCAATCATCGTCGCTCGGGCGGGAATTGACAGCTCGCATTCAAACACTCCAAACATGATGATCCGAGGTCGAGTCTCGCCCTCGGAGGAAGGCGAGGCGAGGTTGATCTGGAATTGAACTCTTCTTCAGGCTTTCAATTCATCTTCCTCAAAAGACACAGAACACCAGCAACTCCAATATCCAAGAAACAAGAAGAGAGCGTGTCTGGAACGCGCTCTCTATTTCTTTGCCCTCTTTCCTCCGACATTGGCTTTCACACGAATCAGATTGGAGGCCAGTCTTCAATTGCTCTCTCTGTCCCCCACCAAGATCACCTTCCATCGCTCCATATCTCCGCCTTTTACCCCCCCCCCCCCCAATCCCTTCTCATCTGTTCCCCCGAACCTCTTAAGCATGGAACTTGGTTTTCCGCGAGGGCTCGGGCAGAACCAGAATCAGGCGTACGGACACCGTCACCCGCCAGTCCAGCAAAACTCAAAACCATCCGAAGGTCAGCTGCCAAACTTCCCGTATAGCGTCATGGATGCGCGGAGCATCCCACGCACCCTCGGCCCAGCCGCCTCCACCCCCGGCCCCAGTATACTCGAACAACAGCACCAGCAACATTCATCCTCGACCTCATCGTCAACCACACCCTCATCTATACCTCCCACCGGTCGTCCCACATCGCCTCCCGTGGCTGCCACCGGCACAGCAGCGATTCACTCCGCCGCCGCGGCCGCGGCCGCGGCCGGCAGCGCCGAAGTTGGCCAGCAGTCTGCCGACTCCCTTGCGCATGGCAACGGCAACGGCAACGGCAACGGCGAGAACTGGGCCTCGCGGGTCCTGCAGGAGATGAAGGACTTGATGCTTCTGCTCAATCGCGAAGGTCGAGTTCTGTATGCGTCACCCTCGTGCGTCGAGATCACTGGCTTCGAAGCCCAGTCGCTCGAAAAGAGCGACCTGTTCCGCTATGTTCACGAGGACGACAAGTCCGTTCTCACCCAGGAATTGAAAGAATGTATTGAGACTGGCCGGCTGTTGCGCTGCCATTTCCGCTTCTGTAAGCCAGATAGCAACTTCTGTCTGCTCGAAGCGCACGGACATCCACATATCGCTCCCTCGGATCCCTCGTCGATGCCCAGTGGTCCGGGTGGTGGTAATGGGGGTCGCAGCACCAGCGCCAGCAGCACCAGTGCAAGCAGCAACGGCAACAACGGCAGTAGTGACAGTAGTAGTAATGGTATCAGCAGTGGAGCTGGCTCAAATGGTCACCGAAGACTTCCACGACCGCTATCCCCATCGCCACCGCAACAGCTGCAGCAGCAGAAACAATCCGAGTGTCGAGGGATTTTCCTCGTTTGTCGCCCTTATCCGACTAGGGGAGCCCAGCTTCTCAACTCATTTCTCGAACATAAGATCGAGAACATCCGCCTCAACCAGCGCATCGCGCAACTCAAGGAAGAGGAAGAGGAAGAGCTCAACGCGACGCAGCAATCTTTCAATAACAGTAACAGCGGCGCCGGCAACAACAATTACCACAATAACAACAGAGATGGCCATCTTGTCCACCTTTCGACCACCACTACCCGTCAAACATACATCACGACCACGCAGACCTTCACCCAAGCCACCACCAACCGGGCACCCGCCCGCGACACTCCCTCCACTTCCGGCGAGGACAACGAATCCTCCGATACGGTCACGAGCAACGCCGACGATGCGGATTCGCGCTCGTTTCCCGGCATGGAGGGCGTCATGGACCGCCTACCTGCGGTCGACGACAGGTCGCATATCGAGGGCATTGAAGTCATGACCGGTCTGTACTATGGAGAGGGCGAGCGGTCCCAGGGTCTGAGTACCGGCCAAAAGCATGGTCGCTTGGTCCACTACTCGGACATTGATGGCGAGTCGTCTGGCAACGATCCCCAGGCAAGTCGAGGAGTCGGGGATGGGGATCGGAGGAAACGACTCAAGGGCGAGTATATGTGTACGGACTGCGGGACGAGTGATTCGCCGGAGTGGCGGAAGGGGCCCGAGGGTCCGAAGACGTTGTGTAATGCTTGTGGATGTGAGTTGATGCTCCTGCCCGTCCCCCCTCCCCCCCCCCGTTTTCCACTCATTGCTTCACACTTGGCTTTCCCTCCTCCCTTCTCTTTGTTTTCTTCTCCGGTCGAGGACCATGACTAACTAGATTATACAGTACGCTGGGCTAAAAAGGAGAAGAAACGCCAAGATCCCTGATCAGTAAAACCTCTACTCCGTACTCCGTACTCTCCCCGGTCTCGTCTTTGCAAGGTGGGTGTAATTGGGGAAATTTTCCAAGGCCATTGACGCGACGTTTGTCATGATTGTTACTGTACTACCTGCATTAATTGCCACTTAGGGTTGGACATTGAGACCCCCTTGCGAGGATACCCCCTGCTTCTTTCACTTCTCTTTTCTTTTCTTGGGATATTTCTTCTTTTCTTCTTTACGGGCTGGTTCATGTACTGGTTTGGTCGTGCGTGCTATTGCAGCAGAGCATGTGAAATTTACTTTCAATGCTTTTGATTATGACCTGGTGTCTATCTATGATGGCATGACTACTATACGGGATATGTATATTCAGACTAAAATCGAATATACTTAGTGTCTCCTCCGGTTACAATTATTACCAGCGCATGATCTTCATTTTGGCTTGGTGGGAAGTGAGCTATGTTCAGGTGTGCATGGGACGACGAGATTAAACTATTGACTCTTAACCGGTAAACTTCCGGAAGGGGAAATGGGGGTATGAACAATGCATAAGACATGACAATTGATATTCGTGGCAACAGAGAAAAGAAGACATATGTTTGGACCGTTGAAGGGGGGAATATGCACACGCCCAGACAAAGCCAACGCCTTCATGAACGATCTCGTTCTCTCAAAGACAATTTCATCATCGACGACCCCACCGGACTCAATTCTTGGCGGCTTTCTTCGGTGGCGGTGGGAAGTAGGGTTGCGGCTGGGGCTGATGGTCCGACAGCGTCTCCGTCGAGTCTTGTTGCATCGAGCGCCGTGGGTTCGGGGTGCTGAAATGTTGACGCAGGGGCAGGTCCGAGCTCGAACCGCCGTCGCTCGGCGCCGTGGTGACGTGGTGCATCGGGGACTTGGGAGGCATGCCTAGGGGCTGCATCGTGGTCATGGGGATGCCCGGCGACTTGAGCACGAAGTCCTCGAACTCCTTCATGGCCCGCTCGTCTTCCTGGCGCTCCTCGATTTCCAGGCGCTCTTCCTCGGTGATGATGCAGTTGCGTAGGCTGAGGCAGGTGATGCCGAAGTAGAAGAGACTATAGTGCGTTTGTTAGCTTGGGGAGGCCTTTGAACCAGTTTCAGAGCAAGAAAGAGGTCAACATACATGATGATGATGGAAAATGCGAATAGTGCTTTTGCTTGCTGGCAGTAATGCACATTTGACTTCACGTAGGCCACGGAGCATTTCTTGGTGATATACCACGGTGCGCCAGGTTGAGGATGGTCTGGATCCGACATGTCGGGGCCGGCTTGATACCGTACAGAGTAAATCCAAACAGCGACCAGGCCAGCGTGAACAAAGGCGCACACAGGCGGGTAGAGCATATGAAGGATGTGAAGTGGAATCTTGGTGATCCACATGAAGACAGCCAAGATACCGAGGACGAGGTTGTAGCGGGTGATACTTTTAGAAGAGAATCGGGTTAGTTTGAAGATTTGCCCTCTCTGCGGAATTTGAGCGTTGGTAGCTGTAGGAGTTCAAAAAACATACAGTGAGCTCCAAACCATCGGGGTCGTGAACGGGCGGTGATTAGCCGCAGCGTAGAGGGCCTCATTGGGGGCACTGTTGAAGCCATTGTCGGCGCCATCCTGCCAGAGCTTCGTGCGGTAGAGATCATGATTCGCGATACCCGTCAATGTTAGGATGATGACCACCAGCGGCAACTCAACGCCCATAAGTATATACAGGAGGTTGTGATTCCGCCATCGTGTCGGGAAGTAGAATTTCTTGGAACCGAACATGGTGAGAGAGGGAGAGCACTGGGTGTAAATAGTACTGTTTCTCTATTCAATGCCAAGATCTTTCTTCAGATCTGGCAGACGGGGGACTGTGAAAGAAACCGTCCCTCTGAAACCCAGAATCCTGCGTTGTCTGGCGCTTCGGGCTCGTATTCTCACCGAGATGCGTTGGAATGGGCCAGAGCCGGCTGGCTGGGCGTTTTCAGTGCAGGGACATCAAAGACAAAGCCGGACAAGCTGAAACGCGAAATTATAGGCAGAGAGGATATGTCCCTTTGCAAGCAGGAGGGAAGGAATCAGAGAGGGCGTCTGTTGGGAAAGGGAGGGCGCATAGATATGAAGTACCGGCGCCTCCCCGTAGGGAAGGACCCCCAGGTCGAATGGTCCGGATTCCATGAGTACGATGCGGAGAGGGGCAAACGATCACAAAGTATGGCGGAGAGAGCACTGGTTGCATGTTTCTTACAGGTGCATCTGGCCAATGCGTGTCGGCCAGGAAGCGCCCGCACCTAGGGCTTGTCGCCAATGAGGCGCCAGAGTGGGCGGTTTGGCTGCCGGCCGTCACACACTAGAGCCGTGTGATGGTGAAGAAAGATCTGCATGCACGCCCCGAGAGGCTTGCTTCTGCAATGAGGGGGAGTAAGCCTGGCAGAGACTAACGACTCACAGGTAGTCGTTGAACGGCCGTGCTCACTTGAGATTGAAGCGCTCGGGTGGAGTATCCAGCCATGACTGGTGCTGCTGCTGCTGTGACGGCTCATGCATGATTTGAGGTTGAGTATTGCCCTCATACGAAAGGCATAACCGTGTCATGTGTCATCAACTGTGCTCTCAAATGTACGCCCCTAGATAATCGTAGAAGTCAAAGACTGAAGCCGAATCTCCATGATGGTAGTAGTAGTTGGAGATGGTTGGAGAATGGAAAGAGGAAATGCGAGCGGCCGAGCACATGACATGGACGTCACCACCTTCTCGAATCACAGCTCACTTTACAACCATATTGTCTCTTGCACAACCCAAACGAAATACTGCGAAGTCAACAGTCAATTATCAATCCGGAACCTCGAAGCAAGCGCTCGGGTAAGGTATTATCAAACCGCGCAAATCTACGGAGTACGCATCACCAAGATTGGCGCCTCTGGATGCGCCGTCACACCGTGCTACGCGGCCTGTCACGCCATCTCCAACAATCCCGGGGTCTCTTTAAGCGCCCACAATCGGCTACCACGCTACAGCGTCACCAGATGAGCGCAGCAACGAGTGGGAAGGGCACATTGCCCCATCAGATGCGCACTGCCGCCGAGCCCCGCCAGAACCGACTATACAACGTCCGCCTGTCGCATATCGAGCAGGTCAACCCATGTGTGCGACTGCTGCAACTAACCATTCCTCGAGAGGTACAGAGTCCGGAGGAGAACACCCAGGAAAGTGATCAAGAAGTAAGAGCTAGCTTCGATCCCGCACGACCTTCTTTCTTCCGCACTCTGTCGAACCAATTGCTTTACCACTTCAACCACTCATCATACTAACCACGTCCCCCCCAAACACAGTCGCACCCCCAACCATTGACCTTCCTCCCAGGCCAATGGCTCGACGTTCACATCCCCTCCATCTCCAACGCAGGAGGCTTCAGTATCACCTCCACCCCGGCGGACGCACAAGTCCTTCCCTCGCTGGCCGAAGCAGCCTCCGTGGAAGCCATCGCCAACGATGAAGCGGGCCTGCCCCCTCTCAACCCCGAGGGTCGATCGCCGTACGTAGAGCTCGCCGTGCGCCACGCGCCCTCGAACCCGGCCAGCGCGTGGCTCTGGAAGCCCACGGAGGAGATCCTGGGTTCCGAGCTCAGCATCCGTGTGGGAGGGAGCTTTGTTTGGCCGCCGTCCGGGGTGCGGTTGACTGAAATCCGGAATGTGGTTTTCATTGCGGGCGGAGTGGGAATTAAGTGAGCTTGCCCCGCTTCCTCTCTTTGTTGCGATCTATATAGCATTGATTACCCTGGGTTAGTCCGCATCTCTGGACTGGCCTTTCCTATTCTTGTGTTGTTACAAAGTGGACAGGGGTGGTTTGGGGCTGCGGGCAGTCCGAGATGTAGTTCCCCTTCGGCTTTCAACATCTTCGCTTCCCTTGACCCTCAACCCCCAATACTCCTCTTCTCCTCATGATCGAATGGCAACAAAAGAGTTCAGCTAACAGCCTCTCTAAGTCCCCTCATCTCCATGCTCTCCCACCTAAACAACGACGACGAGGCAACCACCACCCTCCTCCATCCATCCTTCAACATCCACTTCCTATATTCCACCAAACTCCCCCAACCCGAGACGACAACAACAACAACAGCAACCACCGCCCAATCCCCCGAGAGCCTACTGGACCAGATCCTCTTCCTCTCTCGCCTACGACATATCGTAAACATCCAGTCGCAGCTCCGTCGTCTCCGGATCACGCTGCACCTGTTCATCACGAACCAAGACGAAGAGAAGAGGAAAGAGTCCTCTCCGCTCTTCGGACACTCATTCGACGATGATAATGACCTGCGGATACATGGTCGCCGGATCAACGCCGACGATCTGCGGGCCGCCGCGGCAAGCGGGGACGACGGGACGATCGAGCCAGGGAAGACGGTAGCCTACGTGTGCGGACCGCCGGGCATGACGGACGATATCGTTGGGAGACTGGAGGGGTTACTTGGTGGTCGAGAAAGGGTATTCTATGAAAAATGGTGGTAAGACCAAAGGAAAAGGGAGCCATAGTGTAAAATTGGTATGCGAGAAAGTAAAGAAAAAACCTGCTGTAGTTTAGTAAAGAAAAAAAAATCGATAACAACGATAGTGCATTCAAAATAGCAAATCAATCTTTTGGGAGGGTAACCCTGCAAAACAACACCCCCCTTCCTTTTTGCCAATGCCTGCAGATGCCGGTTCCGAGCTCACACAGAGGTATAGGTATAGTACAAAGAAACAAGTCAAATTTACTCCGGTTTGTGATCGAAGATAAAAGCCGAGCCGTGGAGCTAAATGGAGCCCTGTGTCAATGAAGAGGGAAATGAAAGAAGAAGAGAAAAGAAGCCTCTTAATGGACTTAAAGTTCTGGATCCGGTCCCTTGACCGTACCTCCATCAATGATCATCATCTCGTCGATGCGGCCTTCGGTTTCGCCATGCTCAAGCCGCTTGTAGGTCATAACGCGACCGGGGTTCATGTCGAAGTCATAGAACCGCACCCGTCGCACGTAGCCCCCATAGCCTCCGTAACCGCCAAACCCGACTCCACCTCCATAGCACATCCAAAGGGATGGCTTCTCTTCGTGATCACGGTTCAGCATGCAGTAGTCGTTGACGTGGTCACTGGGGGATTTGTTAGCGCATCTGTATCTGCAGATTCAATATGGGAGAGACACTTACTGTCCACAGCTCACAAATAGAATGCCCTCTTCTTCCATAGCGTCCTTGAAGCCCGAGTTGAAGCCCGGAGCTGTTGGAGCCTCGGACCAATTTCCACGGTAGTAGTTGCGAGAGTCGCGGTACTCAGGCACAGGAATGTGGATGAAAGCCATATTCATGTGCATGTGAGTGTATTCGTGGTGCTTGTTTCGCAAGCTATGAGCAGTGTTCTTAAACCAATGGATTTGGGTGGGTTTGATCCAGTCGTAGCCGCGGAATTGACGCTCATCAGGGGAGTAAGAGTGGCTATCCAGCAAGTACAGAGTCAGAGCCGAGTGCTGAGTGCTTCCGCGGCCCAGGACCTCCACATAATAATTTCCAACGCCGTCCACTTCCTCCGGCCCTGCCCTCGAGAGTGAGTATGGCAGGTCCTCCAGTATCGTCATTAATTCCAGTCGGGAAAGGTCCCCCTCATCGTCATGGTTGCCGAAAATAGCCGCGTAGGGGATCTTGCGATCGACCAGCAACTTCACAGACTTGAAGAGCGCGCTCTGCGCATCCTTGGCTGTCTCGCCATTGACCTGATCTCCGCTCAAGACGACCATGTCCGGCTGCTCTTCATCCAGGAGCCGCTCCACAAACTCCAGTGTCCGGGGATCAGCTTCGCACTTCTGGCCCGGAATCGACTCCGCCGGCACAGGGTCTCGGCACGCTCCGAGGCCCGTACTCAGATGCAAATCTGCGAGCTGCATGATCTTGAACCGCCCGTTCTCATTGATGCGAGGCACTGGCTTCTTCGTCTTGGCGGGATCGCCCCTCCGAACGCTAATCCGGGCCTCCAGGGCCTCCGTCCGGCTATCCAGTAGCAGCGGGGTATCCTTCACTTCCCAGCCAATACGGGGATCCACGGCATCCGCGCCGAACAGAACATCGACGGCCGTGATCGCCTTCTGCGAGTCACTCGCATGCCGCTTCGCGGTCCGCTTCAGCCAGATGCCTCCGGGTCTTTGTTCCCACGTCTCCTTTTCGTCCTCGGGCTTATCTGAGTATTCTGGGACGAGTCGGCTGATCTTAAGGTCAATGACCACTTGGTCGCTGGCGAGGAGCTCCTCCTCTTTCTTGCGCTCAAAGCGGACGAAAGCGCTCGAGGTCCAGCCGGTGCGGAGGTAAAGATCCTTTTCCACCTGCGACCATGCCGTCTGTGGGTTTGGTTTGCAGCTGGAAAAGACATTCACGGACGAACAGGTGACAACTGTCACATCGGTGACGACGAGGCCGTTGTAATGGGACGGAAGGTGGCCATGGATGGAGGCAGGGAGGACGCGGAATCGGTTGTCCAAAACCACGACGAGGAGAGTGACAAAGGACGCGAAGATGGCGAGCTGCACGCCCGCTCGAACCTGAGAAGAAACGGCAAATTTAGCAAGGAATATCGTCGAAAGCGATCATCAATCTCAGAGATGCACAGATGTCCCAAACATACAAGTCGGCGTGTCATGCTAAAAGTGGTAGTGTTGATTGGTGGTACCTCTGGCCAGTGCTAAACAGATGTGTGAAGCGGCCACGAGCACAGGAGCATGTTGAAACACACAAGCGCTGCACAGAAAATTCAGGGGCTTGCCAA